CCGTCATTAAATTGCATTCAATTTATTTATTTATTTATTATTATTATTTTTTTTTTTTGGGTTATTACAGTTTAGATGGAATAGGTGGGTCAGAAAAGCTGCAACTAACCCCACCCCACCCCCCTTTTTCACTTTAGATTCAAATTTCCCCTCCTCTTTTCCTAAAAAAAGAAATGTTTAAAACAATAATATATCTATGTGTATAATAATACATATATATATATACATACATATATATATACATACATATATATATATATATATATATATACTTTACAAAGAAGGCTAAAGAGATGATTTCCAAACTCTCAAAGATAAGCGAGAACGTAATACCTCAAAGACGAGAGGAAAAACTCTGATGCGAACCGAGAAGAGAATGTGGAAATTTCAGGTGTTATATTAAGTCCCGATTTTAAGTGACCAAGCTTAAGAATTAATAACAATGGCAATACCGAAGTGTGCTTACTAGTCTTAAGTTTGACTTACACCCACACCCAAAAAGGGTGATTAGCTCATAATAAAATTACAGAAATAGAAGAAGAACAAAAATGCATAAGAAATACTTGAATTAAAATTTACTAAAGCTGTTGCCCTCAGTGGGCATACAGTGGATAGAAACGTAGCTTAAAATTAAATACAAGACAAGAAGTAAATACATAAAATTAAACTTGAACTACTGCTCCAGATCTTCAGTTGAGAGTAAATGCTCCAAGAGATGTGTCTTCAAAGTGAGAGTAAATGTTTCAATTTATAGGAGAAATGGAGAGATGAACATCCATTTTATCCAAAGGAAGAAAACATTCTCCCTACTCTAGGGCAAAGACTTCATCTCACTTTTCTTGCAAGATCTTATGCCCTTGTCATTTTTTTTTTTGAAAGAATAAAAAAGGTAGAGATGATATTTCCCTTAATGTAAGGGAAAAAGTAATTTAAGTCATTTTCTTATATAAAATGGCGCATCCCTTTAGATTTTGTGAAATCTCTAGAATGGAGTACAAAATTAAATCTTTTAAATACCGAGAAAATAGGGTATTTATCTTTATCCAAATCTTACTTGAAGAAATTTTCGCAGCGGCAAAAAGTGGACAGGCCATGGACATTGTTTAGCAGTGACGGTTTTTCAAAATAAAATCACATCTTTGACCTTTCATCATCTCTTAAAAACATTTTAGACCAAAACTATAAGATAGAGGCAAAATGAGTACGTAAAACACATAAGAGTATTAAACAATAAATAATTCTGAAAATTGAGAGTTATCACTCACATATCTTAATTAATTAATATTTTTTCAAGAATATAATTAATAATTAAATTAAATATTTAAAATTATTTAGCATATTTTAATTATCTACGAAATAAAATAAATATAACTTTAATTTTTATTTAACTTACATAAACATTTTTAGAATTGTTATATTTACTTTTTGATGATCAAATATAATGAATAATAATTAAAATAACAATAAAATAAAAAAATAATTGATATGATCAATAATGATTCTAAATAATCAGTAATTAGTTAATATAATGTATAATTAAAATTAATTAATAACGTATATTAAAATGAAAAAAATAGTTTTTAATTAAATTTAATTACTATAAATTAATATTTATGAATAATTAATATTTATTTATAATAATAGTTAATATTTATTAATAGTAATTATTTATTTATAATTAATAATTAATATTAATTAGAATTATAATTAGAAAAAATATCAAAGAAATCCTCATAAACTACTCCAACTAGTTTATCAATAAGTTAACTTATAAGCTAGCTTATGTGCATCAAAATGATTACTTAAAAAAGAAGTTTAACATATAAATTAGTTTATGTTTACAAACAATGCATTAATCATTAAGCTGCAAATCAACGACCATATACAAACAGTCAATACGTCATCGTTGAGGCAATATTAATTGGTAAACTTGCTAATACACTAGCTTAAAGCAGTTAAGAAACACCCAATAAATATTTGATAAACAAACGAAAGGGTATTTGGCATAGCGGTATGCGAGTCTTTTGGCTTCTTAGGAGATCAAAGGTTCAACTTTTTCACCAAAGATGAGAATGATGTATGAGTTTATTTATTTTATTTATCGTATATACATATTATATACTTAAAAAAAATTGATACACAACCCTACACTTATAATTGGTAAACATAGCCTAAAGCATTAACAAACATTATGTTAAATGTTGAAATAGGCCCAGGAAAAAAATAGTTGGGGATCAAGAAGAAGATTTTGTAGGTCACCGTATATGACACACCCATTGGAATGTGAATTACACATGCCTATATAACTCTAGCCACATAGAGGTGAGTGGTCCACCCATGCAGCAAATGTTTAATTAATTTGAGCAAACTTGGTATGTTTTTTTCATAAAGAATTTTGGTCATGATGATCAACTAGAAGCATAGTTGTTTTGTTTGAAAAGGCTTCTTCACATGTTTGCCTAAACTTAACAAACCAACATCTTAACACCCTTACAATTAACATACATATGTGATTCACAAACTCGAATTGTCGTCACATTTTGGGTTTCTGTTTTGCCCAATCCATCTATGTATGCTACATTCATGTCCCCGACAACTCTCCTTCATGTTCTTTTTCCCATTTCGGGAATCCTAAAATGTATACATCAAAACATAAAGATCACGACCCTCTCTCAAAATGAGATAGATAAATACTTTATTTATCTATTTGTAACTATTAATCATCAATTTTCTATTAATTTTAACGTATATATTAGTATTTGAATCTAATTAATTTATATTATGTCATAAAGCATTTGAAACAAAGTTTTAAAAACCTTTTTTTATTGATGCACATTATTTAAAATTTAATGTTACAAATAAATAGTACATACAACTTTTTAAAAATGCATGTTTGAATTCATATAATTAATTAATAAACATCTTATTTTAAATATAATTAAAATAATCATTAAGTTATAATAGAATATTTAGTTCTTATTTTTATAAAAAAATTATATTATAAAATCTGTATTAATTTACTTCGTTATTAAACCTAAATTAAAGTATAATAAAAAATTAAATTAAAAAACCATGCAAAAAACAAAAACTTTTAATTTGTTAATTTGATACTAATATCAATATACGTCTTTGAAATCTTTATTATATTTTATTCAAACATTTTTGTTTTTTCAAAACCACACAAAACAGTATTATAAAATCGAAAGAGACATATAATAAAATAAAACATTAAAATTGAGATGTATCACGTTGCATTGTACCAATACATTTCTAGAATTTATTTAAAAAAAAAAAATACCCAACCATCAAAAATTATAAAACAAATGACATTGTATGCATTTTCAATTGTACAAATATATTTTGAAATGTACAATTTGATGTGGATTAGGTATAAGTAGTGATTAGAAGAGAAGGTGAATATGATATGATTCAGAAAAGAACCATCTTAAGAAAGCCTATCATTTTCCAATCCCAAAGGCATGCAAACAACACAAGAAGACCCCTATTTATACCTCTGCATCTGCATCTCCATCTCCATCTCACCCCCTCCACACATTTTCTCTCCTTCTCTCACTTCCATTTCACGTTTCATATTCCCATCACTTACAAACACTGTAGCTACACAGTAATCTGTCTCATTCACAACCCACCACTCGATCCATCTCTTTTCATGCATTCTGCTTGTTCTTATAACCATCTTGATCAAGATTTACGAACCATGGTTCACCATGATTTTGACCACGAGGAGTTGTTCTCCCGCCGCTGCATACTGGTGAACGGACCAGTCATAGTTGGGGCTGGACCATCTGGGCTCGCCGTCGGTGCAGGACTCCACCAACAAGGGGTTCCCTTTGTGATCCTTGACCGAGCCGACTGCATTGCTTCTCTTTGGCAAAACAAGACTTATGATCGACTCAAACTCCATCTCCCTAAACAGTTTTGCCAGCTACCCTATTTCCCCTTCCCACCAAATTTTCCAGAATATCCTTCGAAATATCAGTTTATCGACTATCTTGAATCGTATGCTAAGAAGTTTGAGATTAGCCCCAGGTTCAATGAGTCTGTTCAGTCGGCTAAGTATGATGAGAGTTGTGGGCTTTGGAGGGTTAGGACGGTGGCGGATAACGGTGAGGTTGAGTACATATGTCGGTGGCTGGTGGTGGCGACAGGGGAGAATGCAGAGAAGGTGGTACCGGAATTTGAAGGGTTGGATGAGTTTGATGGCACCGTCATGCATGCTTGTGATTACCGGTCCGGTGAGGTTTTTGACGGAAAACGAGTTTTGGTTGTCGGCTGTGGCAACTCCGGCATGGAAGTCTCTCTTGATCTTTGCCACCATAATGCTTTTCCATCCATGGTGGTTCGAAGCTCGGTCAGTAACCCATTTCATTCAAAATTTCAGAACCAACCTAAATTCACTTTCAGAATCATTAAATTCATATTCTAAAGTTGGTTTTCTTGATTATGATCAAACAGGTTCATATATTACCAAGGGAAATTGGTGGGAAATCAACCTTCGAATTGGCAACTTCATTGAGGAAATGGCTGCCATTAAAGGTGGTTGACAAGATTCTACTGGTTCTTACAAGGTGTACTCTTGGGAACTTAGAAAAATATGGTATAAAACGGCCATTAATGGGTCCATTACAGCTCAAGAACGTTGAAGGGAAAACCCCTGTTTTAGATATAGGTGCTTTACAAAAGATCAAATCTGGGAAGATTCAAATAGTCCCAGGAATCAAGAAATTCTCACCGGGTCGGGTCGAGCTCGTAAATGGAGCAAATCTTGAGATAGATTCAGTCATTTTGGCAACTGGGTATTGCAGCAATGTTCCTTCATGGTTAAAGGTAACAACTTTTTTTTATTCAAGAAATACTGAAAATGTGAAATACCATTTATACCCTTGAGCTAAACAGATGCTATCTTAACAGGAAAATGGTTTGTTTTCAAAAGAAGGGAGATTTTCAGAGGGGTGGAAAGGGAAAGCAGGTGTTTATGCAGTTGGGTTCACAGGTGGAGGTCTATTGGGTGCATCTCTTGATGCCACAAGAATCGCACAAGATATTGGCAAGATTTGGAATCAAGAAACCAAGCGAACCAATCATTATGTCACAGTCTCCTGTGATCGAAGATGCAACAAGTAGACAAGATTTATAAATTAAAAAAAAAATTATTAATTATCCTTTTTTTGATCATTTTGTATTATATATTAATCGTTTTCCTTTCGAATTTCAATTTTGTAAGCCGACCAATAAGAAAACCGTCACAAAGTAAACAAGAAAAGAAAAAAAGAAATGAATAGCCCTCTCCAGATAAAGTCTAGGTTCTGACATTGTGTACAAAAGAACAGGAAGACGAGGCTTTTTTTTTTCCTTTTCTTATGTTTTTGTTTTTGTAATCTCTTTTGGTAATATAATCTGTTTTCGATGTTGTTATGTAGCGTTTATTGGATGATACTTCTTTCATCATATCATATCCAATATCGTTTTATTTTACATCTCCTCTCATTGACAAAATTTCCGATCGAAATCAAGAAATTCAGAAGCATGATGTCATAATAAAGAGAGCTTTTGGATTTATTAAAGAAACCCCATTTTGGTAAGCCATACGTCGGCTTTTTGAAAAGCTCGGGCTCTATGGGTTCCTTTTCATTTTGTTTTTCCAATTATGCATCTCATACCGAATTGCATACTTTTCCAACACAATCATTTTACATTATCCTCTAACTTATAAGCTAGTTTTTATTAAACATGACTATTTTATCAACTAACAATTAGCTTATTAGCCAACAACTAGTTTATTGACGAACAGCTGGTTTTTCAAAACTAAGAGGTATCTCAGGCACCACATGATGGTCCAGCCTTTGTAGTTAATGGAACAGATGGGCTCTAGGTCCAGAAGCTGGTCCACAAATGGGGCCACTGCTGTTACTCTTCAATCTCGTGACTGGAATTTGTAGGGGAGTACTTGCCATATTTAGACGTAACTTTCACGGTGTTAGAAGAAGAGTACAACTCCCATCCCCATCTTTTCAGACATGTGACTGTTTTTTTGGTCAATCAACATCTATCTAGCTATGCCAAACAAGTCAAAAGGCTTGATCTATGTGTTTTAGGTCGATTTGTAACATCTCGACTAATTCTAACTGTAAAAATGATAGTCAGGAAAATTTCCAATGACCTTAAATAGACTCAAAGTGACGACCTGTGCAAAGAGTCTCAAGACCTAGCTTTTTTTTTTTGCGAGTTGAGCTAGCATATGGGGATGTAGATGTTTATTCTAAGTTGGTTTGGATTAGAGATGGTGTTAATGATATTTTACATCATATCCGAAGTGATAATACCCTAAATACTACTAGTTGCTTTCGGTTATCTACTAGGAAAGGACAAATCAGGCAGATTCTAGAACTAAAAATATCTTATTTGGCTTAAAAGTCAAATACGGCCTTCTTTTTTAAGTATATATTATTTATATATGATAAATACTTACACTAACTTCTCATCATTGGTGAGATTTGAACCCTTAATTGATCTTCCGAAGGATAAAAAACCTATTGTCGAAGATAATTCTGTCCCGCCAATCACTAGAATAAACTTCATTACTTTATAGTGGTGATCTGGTTTTATGTGATTGGTGGACAAGGAAGAGACATGAAAATTGGGGATAAAAGATTTATATTAGGAGGTTGGATTCTATGGGTGACCCGGATATTGCAGGGCCCTTTGGTTGGACTCTTTTCATGGAAGAGGAAAATTTGACCAAATAAGTAGGGCATGTGATGCCACCAGACACAAGCACAAGGTAAATAACATGCAAAATCTATCATTTATGTTTCATATATCCCTCAATGCCAACAAGAAACAATTAATCCTTTCAAATGTTTATCTGAATGTTTGCCCATTGGAAATACAAGAAAAAGAAACAGAAACAGAGACAACCCATATGAGTCCCCATACTGCATATTCAAAACATGCAGAGATTGCCCATCTACATTTGTTTTCAAGATTCTATTTGCAAGTCCAAAAATCCAAATCTTTTTTGAACATATGCATCATGCATCTATCTATCTATCTACAAAAAAGATTGAGGTCTCAGATCTTGCAGTGGTGTTCCAGCTTGTATATAACATAGGAATAACAGTGGTTTGTGTGTCTTTTTCTTGATGGAGCTTATAAAGCTTACCTCATCTTCACAACTCTTTTGTGCTGTTTCAAAAGAGAAAGAAAGCAGATGGGGTCTACATTCATCTATGAATACACACAGAATGCCCATTCCTACCAGGAGTGTTCAGTAGGGTTGGATGTTATGTCATTTGTCCTTGAATCCTGGCTTCTGCAGGTTCACAGTCACAGAGCAGTAGGTTTGTCATCACACCTGAAATAACTCATTAATATCTATGATATGGGTTCTTGGTTCTTGTCTTCAGAAACATGAAGCACTTGTACAAATCAAGAATCTAGTCAACATTGCACTAAAGGGCCCTACCCAGAGGTGGGGTCCAAAGGGATGAGAGATGGTTGCTGACCTAATATATATAAGATTTATATGGTTAAGAAATCGAAACAACATTATACTCTTAAAAGACAAAAAAATCCTTCAGTTATATGCATGCATGCATGCATGTTGAGACTGTGTAGATCAAAGGGTACAAATAATTTTCTGTAGATACATGTGTGTGGACGGCCAGCACGAGCATTCGTGCATATATGAGTGTGTGAACATATATATTCACAAACAAACCACAACACATGGAATCAAGATACACTGCAAGTATGCACAAAATGAATATATGAGTGTGTGAACATATATATTCACAAACAAACCACAACACATGGAATCAAGATACACTGCAAGTATGCACAAAATGACGCATTGACTCTAAAACCAAACCAAACGAGATAAGTATATCCACCAGGAGGTGGGGTCAGTGTCTTTACGGGGTAAGATGTACGCACATTTGACTTCTATCTTCAAATAGTAGAGGAGTTTTTTTTTCGTGAAAACATCTGGCTTGTGAGAAAAGTGCACTGGCAGGAATTAGATTAAATGAAGAACATAAATACCCGATGTAGAAGTTAGAGTCCCACATCAGCTTCTCTATATATGTTGGAACCTCTTTTACGGGCTCTTTTAAAGAGTAATCCAATGGGATTCCACATATTCCTACAGTAAACGTGACTTTTTTTTCGACCAGGTGTGATTAATTAACAAGTGGTTCCTGGCTGGATAGTAATCCAGTGAATAACATGCTAATTCCAGACCCAATCTGAACAAGCACATGCTGGTTAGACTCGTGAAATTGAGTCATGAAACTGAGAGCTTCCAGAGGCTGGAAATTAGTTGACACCTCTCGAGCAATGGCTTCTTCTATTGTAGATACCCACTATTATGTCAATATCAGGCTGAAACCCTCTTTGAATCAGTATTTAATAAATTGTCTAAACAATAAAAGAAAATACTAATTTATCCTTCAATCTATATTAAACACCAATTAAAATAAATGTTTGATAAATATGTCGAATGATTGATTTTGAAACATAAAAAGATATCGATTTAAGGTTTTTTTAAGAAAAAATTTTAAAAAACCCAACGAACTGTCCTATTTTAAATGATTAAATTTAGGCATGGGAATGGGGCGGGGACCTCTATCCCCGTCCCGGATTACTTATCTTTATCCCCATCCCCATCCCCATCCCCGCCGGGGAATATAATCACATCCCCATCCCCATCCCGATGGGGAAACGAAGATTATTTTTCCCGTTTATATAAGTTATTTTGAATTAAATATGTGATAGACCATACATGTTTAAATCTCAAACATTTTCAATAAACCTAAAACCAAAATGAATTTAATTTAATACAAAAAACCACAACATCATATAATAATTAATAACCTAAAAGCATCCAAAAAAACTTAAAGTCACATGTACAAAAAGATAATGAGTAATATAAAACCATATTGAGTAATATACAAAACTTATCGAGTAATTGTATTTTGATTTGACATCCAAAATATTACATATTAACATCCAAAAAGTAACAATTTTAGTATCTAAACCTAGTTAAGAAATAGAAAACTATAAATTACCGCTTTAGTTGAAATAAATAATATACATATATACATGTGTGTATGCATAATTTATTAATATATATATATATATATGTATATATATATATATGTATATATATATATATATATATGTATATATAACGGGTAAGGGGCGGGGCGGAGAGTACCATACCCGTCTCCGTCCCCATCCCCGATTTAGCGGGGAATCCCCGTCCCCGACCGGGATTCCCATGCCTAATTAAGTCTCTAAACTATTTTTTTGAATAAAACAACATTAAACTTTCTCATTTGAATGATTAAATTTCTGAACTATTTTTTTTAATAAAAAGCCATTCAGTTTTTCTCAATTTGAATTATTAAGTCCCTGAACATTTTTTTTTTGTATAAATAAACCATCAAACTTATATAAATTAGTTACCTATATCACCAAAAAAACTACTTGTAATTGGCTAGAAAAGTCTTAAAGTAAAAAGAAACATAAATTAGTTTTACTGTTTCCAAACTCAACTCCCTTCAAACCTCTCACAAACAGCGGTATCACTCCCCCTCACCACTCTTTGTCACCCCACCGCTATCCGTTTTTCATATAGGTTATCACACGGCTGGCCCATGTCATCAATCTCTCTTTTTTGATCTATTTTTAGGGGGTTATAGGTATTTTTACTTTAAGACATCTCTAATCGATTCAAGTAGTTTTTTTAAGTTAAAATGATGTAATAACCAATTTCTAAAAGTTCAATGGTTTATTTTATTGAAAAAATGTTTAGGGGATTAATCATTCAAAATGAGAAACTTCAATGGCTTTTTCGATCAAAAGAATAGTTTTCATTCAAAATGAGAAAGTTTAGTAGTTTTTCTATTCAAGAAAACAGTTTAAGGACTTAATTGTTCAAAATAGAATAATTCGTTAGATTTTTCTAAACTTTCCCTTTTTAATATAAGATTATATTATTTTATTTTAAAATTATATTTATATATATTATATCAATAGACTTGGTTTCATGTGAGGCCAAGTAGTTTTCGTGAGACTTGTGATTACCACATAAATATAACACTAAAAAAACATTGTTAAGG